TTAGACCGATACAAACCCGACCCGGTTCACCACCAAGCACCAGTTTCAGCTTCATCAGTCTCTTTGGGATTTCCGTTCCTTACATCAAAAGGTCACACTCCTTCCTTCCTTCCCTCGTCCATTTCTTCTTCCTATCTCTCTCTCTCTCTCTCTCTCTCTCTCTCTCTCTCTCCTTTTCTTTTTGTTTCCTTTCTCTCCATCCAGACAATGGAGAGCTTAGCCCTCCACTCCTTCTCCACCGCACAACCACTTCCTTCTCCATTTCCTCCCGCACTTCCCTCCACCTCCGCTCTAAACCCATATCCAAGTCATCCCACCCATCGATTTTCCCTTCCTCTTCATTCCCCGCCCTCCGATCCCCTCTCAAGCCGCTCTTATTTTCCCCACTTCCCAAACAACGAAGCCCCTACTTTCCCCTATCTGCGCCAATTCTCAAAACGACAACACCCCACACACTGAAACCACAACACCATCCCCTCCTCAAGGAGCCAAACTCCTCCTTTCTTTGTCTCAATTTCCATTGGCCTCATTGTCCGTTTCCTCGTCCCCAAACCCGTCGACGTAACCCCGCAAGCCTGGCAGCTCCTCTCCATCTTTTTGTCGACAATAGCCGGTCTCGTCTTGAGTCCCTTGCCCGTCGGAGCATGGGCTTTTATAGGCCTCACAACTTCTATCGTGACCAGAACGCTGCCGTTTACGACCGCCTTCAGTGCCTTCACCAACGAAGTCATTTGGTTGATTGTCATTTCCTTCTTCTTCGCTCGTGGGTTCGTTAAGACGGGGCTTGGGGATAGGATCGCTACCTATTTCGTAAAATGCTTGGGAAAAAGCACTTTGGGATTGTCTTATGGGCTGACTTTAAGTGAGGCCTTGATCGCGCCGGCGATGCCTAGTACAACTGCTAGAGCTGGTGGGGTTTTCTTGCCTATTATTAAATCGTTGTCTCTGTCTGCTGGGAGTCGGCCTGGGGATTCATCATCTTGGAAGCTTGGGCGTTATTTAATTCAATCACAGTTTCAAGTTCGTGTTTTTTCTAGTTTATTAGTGATGATCACCTACTTTATCGATTTATTTTCTTAATTGTTAATTTTAATTTATGGGTGGGAATAGTTAGTTTTAGACTGTTAACTTGTGCAAGAAGGCTTTGGTTTTTAGATTAATTTGGATTTTCGAGCTATAATTAAGTAATTTCTCTGTTCTATTTGAACCCATGAATATGTTTTTCGTACATTAGTACCTCTGACTCATGCATTTCACGTGGATCTTGTATGACAGTGTACTGGCAACTCTAGTGCTCTTTTCCTGACTGCTGCAGCGCAAAATTTGCTATGCCTCAAACTAGCTGAGGAGCTTGGAATTATTATTTCAAATCCTTGGGTTTCTTGGTTTAAGGCTGCCAGTTTACCAGCACTTGTTTCTCTACTGGCTACTCCGCTTATTTTATACAACCTTTATCCTCCTGAGACCAAAGATACGCCGGATGCCCCAGCAATGGCTGCAAAGAAACTTGAGAACATGGGCCCTGTCACAAGAAATGAATGGATCATGGTTGCAACGATGCTTCTTGCAGTTACTCTGTGGGTCTGTGGGTAAGTGGGCATCTCATCATACCGATTTAAGTTTATTTGGATTTGAGCTGAGAAATTTATTTCTTCACATCTAATGTTTACCTGTATATTCCTCAGTTCCCTTTACTTGTTACCCTTCCTTTCTGAGCAGCTGTGCCCCTGTGAGATTCTACTGCCATGTGAATATCATAATGATGATAACATCTATTACTTTTGATGCTTATTATGAATTGAAATATGTGATCACACATATGATTTTCGTGGTTTTGTGTTTGCTTTAGAACCCAAGCAAATTTATTACTTTTCTGATCTGTTGGTATTTCCTGAACCATGCATAGGGAGACTCTTGGTATTCCAAGTGTTGTGGCTGCAATGATTGGTTTGTCAATACTCCTTTTGTTAGGAGTGCTTGACTGGGATGACTGCTTAAGCGAAAAGTCGGCATGGGATACATTGGCTTGGTTTGCTGTTTTAGTAGGCATGGCAGGCCAATTAACAAATCTCGGAATAGTGAGCTGGATGTCTGGTTGCGTAGCTAAGATCCTTCAATCTCTTTCTTTGGGCTGGCCTGCTGCATTTGGTGTTCTTCAGGCATCCTACTTTTTCATCCACTACCTATTTGCAAGTCAAACTGGTCATGTAGGAGCACTATATTCTGCATTTCTTGCTATGCACTTGGCGGCTGGAGTGCCTGGTGTATTAGCAGCGCTGGCTCTAGCTTACAACACAAATCTTTTTGGTGCCATAACGCATTATAGCAGTGGTCAGGCTGCTGTCTACTATGGAGGTGTGTTTCTGTTTCCTCACTAACTTTCTATGGACTATATACTCTCTCTCTCTCTCTGTCTCTCATGCATTTGTGTACACATGCATATGAGCATCATGCCTTTGCACAAAACCACAAAGCCTGCTTTTGTCTGCAATTACTACTGCTAAATTGACCTAGCTTCCTCATGTGGGTGTGTACATGTCCGTGCGTTTGGTTGATGAGATAGGAAAAACAGGAGAATAACTTGGACACTTACAGTAGCCATTTGGCAAGAGATCGTTCTGAAATTCCCATCAATTTCCTTGTTCCTCCTTTTTCCTATAGACAAGAATGGTGAATTTCTTTGAAAAGCATTTGCAAGTCATCCAGGAAAATATCTTTATAGTGTTCTTTAAATAAAGATTTGCTTGGGTTACTGATGAGTTCTTTTGGTTTTATTTACAGCCGGATATGTAGACCTGCCTGACGTATTCAAAATGGGTTTTGTAATGGCATTTATTAATGCCATCATCTGGGGTGTTGTTGGAACTTTCTGGTGGAAATTTTTGGGTCTTTTCTGATTAAATTACCCTGTGAGTGTCATTCTTCCCTGTTGTAAGAAGCCATATTTTGGGGAAAATTTGAGCTCAATTTTCTTCAAAGAAAATTTTCATAGTTATAGCGTTGGCTCTTTTTGGTAAACTCTTTCTATGTTTTAACAGTTTATTAACATTTTGGCCGGTTTACATCCCATTTTCAAATATGATTTATTTTTTTAGAGACATCTGTTTTTCTTTTTAGTCCATCACTTCTGTTCTTTCATATCTTCTTTGTTTCTGTTACTTGGCATGCAAACTCTAACAGTTCCCCGTTCTGCTATAAAATCTGCCCAGTTTTGTTGATATAGGCGAACTCCAAGCATGACAGTGAAAAAATTGCTGGTCTATTGCCATGTAAGAATTTTAGAAATCAAAAGTGACCATTTACCTGGAAAATTATTTTAGGTTTGAAAACTCTGAGATAAAAGAAAAAAAGAAAGGGAAGACGGGTAGACAACCCTCAAAATGGAAAAAGAAAAAATCAGAGCGCCAGCCAAATTAATGAGATGAGAGAATTTGGATGAGTTCACAGAAAAAACAAGTGTCAGATCCAGCTGGTTTTAGATTTTCTCCTTTCTTTTGCCGACAAAAGTATGTAATACATGACGAAATGCAATATAAACCAATATATGAAACGAGGATAGTGTCGTGTTTAAGACTGTATTCTGATTGGAAACAAGTTTTGCTATCGCATGTACACTATGCTGTGCTACCAAAGGATGACTTTTAATATTTTACCAAATTGATTTAATGCTTATGGTTGGATACAGAATAATCAGACCTTGTTATTTGCAATGGCATTGTAGCATTACCCCCAATCGGTATTTTTACATATATAGAGAAAAAGACCCAGGATATTTTCTCTGGAACAACTTCTCAACAGTCAACAAGCTGTGGCCCATCTAACAGCTTTTGTCAATGGTTGGATGGCGGAGATATAAAAATGCCAGAAGGTTTTCTCTAGTTCACTTATTTCTGAATTCCGTATCCCAATGGCTGAATGGTAGAAGTGATGCAAATCCCTGTCTATAGGATCGTTTTCTGAAAAATAATTGATCAATAAGTCAAAAGGAAGCAAGCAAGGATGCAGGGATAATAGTCACTTAGTTGACTCAGCCGCTTTAGGTGGGTGGATATTTTCCGTCAGGACAAAAGAAAAATAAACTATTTGATTTAATTACTTCCACTGCTATGCCATCTACCCTCTCTTTCACACCCTGGTACACTCAATCACTCTGTCTTCCGCAAACCTCTGCTTGCTCTTAATCTTATTAGTCTTCAGTTTCCACTCTTGGATCATGAGATCTCAAGAATTAACATGCAACTTGAATGATTTGATATGTCTAAATGGCTTTTCTAGCTGTCTAGAGTCAGATATTGTTGGATGGAGTAACTCTACTTCTGATTGCTGCACTTGGACTGGTGTCACCTGTGACAATTCTACTGCACTAAGCAAAAGAGTGGTCAGTTTAGAACTTGGAGCAACAAACTGTCTGGAAAAATCTGTGATTCCTTGGCAGGTTTACATCAACTGAGAATTCTGAACCTTTCTCATAATCTGCTACGTGGTTCCTTCCAGCCAAGCTGTTTCACATGCAGAACCTGGAGGTCCTGGACTTAAGTGACAATGATTTCGTTGGTAGAATCCCAGTAGAAAGTCATTTATCCTCTATCTGGTATGTTGACATTTCCAAGAATAGGTTTTTTGGTCCGATGGATAAAAATCTCTGTAAAACCTCACCTCATATTCAGTATCTTGATTTATCAAGTAACAACTTCTTCGGGGAAGTTTCACCAGCTTGGGGAAACTGTACCTCTTTGAGAATCTCATTCTTGCTGGGAATAAATTTAGGAGTTTGCCGAAGGGTATCTTCCAGCTGCAACATCTTAGTGTATTGCATCTTCAAAATAACAGTTTTTCTGGGCCACTAAGCGACGGGATTGGTAATCTGTCTAACCTTGTTGAATTGGACATCTCCTCTAATTCATTTACGGGAGTTCTTCCTGATGTTTTTGGGAAGCTTCAAAAGCTTTGAGCAGTTCTCTGCCAGTTCAAATAAGTTCACTGGAATTTTTCCCATCTCAATGGTGAACTCTCCATCTCTTATAAAGCTTGATCTCCACAACAACACTCTGAATGGTCCAATTAATCCCAACCGTTCTGTGATGACTCGTCTCATGTCCCTTCATCTTGGTTCTAATAATTTCCATGGTCCAATCCCCCATAGCATGTCCTCTTGCAAGAGCTTGAGCATGCTGCATCTTGGCCACAACAACCTTCCGGGTCAGGTTCCTTACAAATTTACGAATCTCCAGAGCCTGAAAGTCCTTACACTGTCGGGGACCTATCTTGTCAATCTATCATCAACCCTTTAAGATTCTACAATATTGCAACAACTGAACTGTTCTGATCCTTAGTGCAAACTTTCAGGAGGAGCAAATGCCCACTGGTGTGAATTTGCAATTCAGAAGCCTCAAGGTACTCAGCGTTGCCTATTGTGAACTAAGGGGTTCCTTTCCACTCTGGTTACGTGGTTGCAACATGTTACAGTTCCTGGATCTGTCGAGGAATCGTTTGAGCGGATCCATTCCCTTGTGGTTCAACAGGTTCAAATATCTCTTTTACGTGGATTTGTCAAAAAATTCTTTCACTGGTGGGATACCAAAAAGCTTAACTGAACTAGAGGGCCTCATTGACATGAACATCTCACTGGAAGGGCCTTCTCTGGGCTTCCCATTATTCAGAACTGCTACAGATGTTGCAACTTTTGGTTACAACAATATTTGGAGCTTTCCGCCAACTCTAGACCTGAGTTACAATATTCTAAGTGGACCCATTTTGCCCACTATTGGGAATTTGAGAAGGCTACATGTTCCAAATCTCAATCGGAATCACCTCTCAGGATCGATTCCAGAGAGTCTGTCAGGAATGACAAACTTGGAAATTTTGGATTTGTCCCATAACAAATTATCTGGAGAGATACCTAATTCACTAGTGCAGCTCAGTTTTCTGTCAAAGTTCAGTGTGGCATATAATGAGCTTTATGGGGAAATCCCAGCTGGAGGTCAGTTCATGACTTTCCCTTATTCAAGCTTTGGAGGGAACAATGGCCTTTGTGGTAGAAGCTATACTCCATGTCAGCCTGAACATGCTCCTACCATTTCTCCTGGTGAACAAATGATAATATTTGGTTCTCAATTTGGATATGGAGTTGTGACTGGTTTTCTTCTCACCATCACCATCTGCTTTATGTCCGGTTGGATCCTTCCAAGAGGGTCACCGTTTGGAGTGCTGAATCCAAGACAAACTGATACCAGCTAGAGGTAAATCTAGTCTCCATGGCTAGAAGAAAAGCGAGTGATCTCTCTGCTTCTTTGGACTCTATCGGCTGTTGCCCTCTTTCCTGTCTGATTTATATCTTTTCAAGTTGTAGACTGTAGATTAGGCACACCCTCGCTTTCGTTAGTTACAAAGGAATAAAGTACGATTTTACTTGTTTAAGTTTAAAATACTTGTAAATTTTTAAAAGAATTCTTTCTATATTATTTATTAAAGGGATTTTTAAAACGATTCTTGTGATAAGGAGAGGAGCTCTGAACCACTAAAACTAATGAAAGGGGCAATCACTTTGACATATGCTTTTGAACACTCAGCGTTTCTATGGAGCCTCGTCATGTGAGTTCTTAGAGTTGAAACCGGCAACCGCTATTTACAAGTTGCTTGGAAGGTGTTTGTAAGGTCTGACTTCTTTATCTACCATAGTTTTAAAATTGTACAATTCTAGCATATATCTTACAAACTGAAAAGGAAAAATATCACAAAACAAAACTAAACCAGAACCATCTTAGCCTGAAAAAGAAGGAAGACCCGAAGCAACTGAAATACTGAATTTGCTACAAGATTTATTTATTTATTTATTGATGGACTACTGCTTTGATGTATCTTAAAACATCTCGAAGGTTGTTACTCGTTAGGAGAGAGTAATGATAGTAAATATAATGTACTATAATGTGTTGCTGATCACTTTCTGAGTTAATAACTTGAGATCATCTTTACGTGACTGGTCTCAAGTTTTTTTTTTCTTTTTTGTGAAGAGCAAGAACATTTCATTGAAAGAGCATTGAAAGAGCTGCCAGGAATAATGCAGAGGGAGTAAAGAAATATCCCTTCAGCTGCTAATCCCTTGTTACAAAGAGACCTAATAGGCTACGCAATTCAGCCACGAAAAAGCAGCAAGTCCCCTGGCACAAGTGTGCTAATTGGCAACACAGTTCAGCCACTAAAACACAGATAAAAAAAATAAAAACTAGAGGGGCAGAAAGTATGCATGCGCACTTGTACATGCAGAAATGAAATAGATAACAAACCGAAGAGTGGGCACAACCGATTTACAATAAACTCCCCAAAATGAATATCCAGCTTCCATACTTAAAAATAAGGAAAAAAATAGGAATGAACTGGAAACCATCGTATATCAATATCGTCAAGCCAGTGGCAGGCGAAGCATTAAAAAATTGCAGAAAGTTTACTCGGTTGTATAATAGTTGCTTTGACAAGTCCATCAGTAAGGTTGTTTTCTTCTCTAAAAATGTGCTTGAATATAATGACTTTGACATCGCATTTGAGAACTTCAATGCTGTTTGATAAACTCTTCATGCGCCAAGGAAATGAACCATGGTTATTCACCCAGTTGACGATATTTCGAGAATCACTTTCCGTAATGAGAGAGTGACTACTAGAACATGGACTTGAAAGAAAGAAGCTGAACCCCTTTTTGATGGCGGCCAGTTCTGCGAAGTTGAAATCCTTTGTCTCAATTGGATGAGAGAAAGTACCCTGGAAGCCTTCATGGTCTCTTAGTGCACCCTAACACTTGTAGATCCAGGCTTCCTCAGTGCTGATCCATCAACACTCAGTTTCATAAATCCTTGGGGTGGTCTTAATCAGTCTCTGTTGAGCCCTTCGTCTTTGTTAACCTTACTACAAAGTACTCTACAAGGGTCCGAAGGCATGTACATATATCGTCTTCTCATCTAGAGGTAGAAAATTATAAAAAATTATTTTTTTTCTTTTCCGTTTAAGAGGCTTTTGGGCATGAGCCTCGTTTTTTTTACTAAATTGATAGCTGGGCCATACGTGGTTCAGCCAGCTCTAACAAAACCCAACAATCATTCTTTCGGGACATACATATGTCACTTAATCCAAACATTAAAAAGTTAATGTTACATAAAAAAAATAACCACTTTCGAAATCGAAATTTTTGACAATTTTATTTTTGGTGCTTGATTTTATGCATAAATTAATGAATGTATGTATTTTTTATTGTCTACTTATTTTATGTTGATACATGCATGTTGCTTAAATTTTTTTATGCATAAAATTAGATGTCATGTGATCCATATAATTTTAATTAATTAGAGATTGATCATAGCATCTTTGATTATGTTAAATTGTATATTAGTATCCTTGGATCATACATAGAAAAATTATATCAATTGTGATTAATCATATTTAAATATAATAAATTTTATTCCACATGAATTTATATTATATTTGTATGATTAATTAGGATGAAATAACAAATTATATTTCTTAATTTACCCATAGGAATTAAGAAAAGGCATATAATTTGATAGTTTCATCATAACGTTTGTGTATGAATCTTTTAAATAAAACTTAACCCACGGACATTTTTGTTTTAATTTGTTATTTGGTTCATATTTTAAGCAAAGTTTAGATTGGTAAAATATAATACATGTTTATTTGCCTCAATTTCTGTGACATAATCATATATGTTTTTATGTAGTTATACAACTTGTGAATTTTTCTGATATCAAATGTGATATTCTTGATTTAAATGGTGATAACTATAAAATATGGACACTGATTATGCTATTCGAAAGGACAAACCACCTACACTTATTGATACTAGCATTCTGACTGAAATTGCTCTTTATGAATGATGGTAGTGATCTAATCGTCTCAATATGATGTTTATAAAGATAAAAATTTATGCTAGTATACGTGGTTTAGTAAGAGAGTGTGACAATGTTAAGGAACTGTTGAAGGCTATTGATGAACAATTTAAGTCTCTAAATAAGGCCCTAACCAGCACTCTAATGATAAAGTTATCATCAGTGAAGCTCACTAGTATTAAAGGTGTGTGTGAGCACATCATGCAGATGAGGGACATTACAACTCAATTGAAGTCTCTTGAGTTTGAGACATCTGAATCTTTCCTTGTGCATTTCATTTTAAATTCTCTTCCATATCAATATGGAGCTTTCAAAATTCTTATCATACACATAAGGATAAATGTCAATTAATGAACTTCTGACCATGTGTGTTTAAGAGGAAAGCAAGTTAATTGTGGAATCGGGTGAAAGTGCATATATGGCAACCCAAGGAAAGAACAAAAGGCAAGCCAAACAAAAAGGGAAGGGTAAAATACCAATCCAAACTAACATCAAGAAGGAATCCAAATATTTTTTCTAGAAAAAGAAAGGGCACATGAAGAAGGATTGCGTCAAAAATAAAGCTTGGCTTAAGAAGAAAGGTAATTCAATCTCACTTGTTTGTTATAAATCTAATATGGTTGATATCTATCATAACATTTACTAGATTGATTCTGGTTCTACAATCCACGAATACGTTGTAGGGTTTTCTAAACCAAAAGAAATAAGTGGGTAGTGAGTAGTGCATCTATTTGGGGAACAAGATGCATTCATATGTAGAAACAATTAGAACATGCAAATTGATTTTAGACTCTAGCTTTGTTTTGAATTTGGAAAGAACATTTTATATTCCCAATTTCTTTAGAAATTTGATTTCAGTTTCAAGATTTGTACCATTTGGTTATTCCTTTAACTTTTCAAAGACATCTTTTAATTTATTTTATAAATATGATGTTGTTGGGAATGGTACAATGTCTGATGGTCTTTTTTGAATTAATTTAAAACAACACCTTTTATAATATAATGCATGTTCATGGTAATGTTGGTATTAAACAATTCGTTATGAATGAGAATTCTTTTATTTGGTGGCACTGAAGATTGAGACATATATCGATAAAGAGGATTATGTAACATCTCGTCCCTTGGGATGTTAATTAAATTAACATATTAATTGCCAATAAAGATGAATTGTGGCTATTATCGATGACAAAAAGTTTTGTGGAAGTAGAGAAGTTGATATAGAATTAAAATAATATTAATTTATTGATGACGAATGAATAAGACAGTGTAATATCTAAAGCCGATCAAGGAATTAGATTTGGCCAAAGTGGGAGAGTAAATTAACACTTAGAAAAATTTTATGAGAGTCAAATTGAATTTCTTGGAGTCAATTACTCTCGATTTCACCTTTATTATACTAAAGGGAAAGGAAAAGTATGTTTGAGGACTAAATTGCAAAAAAAAAAAAAGCGACATACAAGAAAATATATTTGTGAGAATGGAAGTGGGCTCGCCATTAAGCAAGAGGAATTTGCAAGCAGAAGGCTTAAAACTAGTGGCAAGCCATGTAAATTGAAAACTGCACAGAGGAACATAAATCGCAATGGAAAACGGACACCTGGAGATTAAATTGGATTGTACGAGACAAAGAGAAAAGCAAATCAGCTAAAAGAGAATAAAGATTAATAAAATGGGCTTGGAACTTGAAAATTCCAGTTCCGCCCATTTCTTGCAAATTGGAAGCTCTCGGCTCCTTAGTTTTTCTTGCAACCTGAGAGCTCTTCTTTGGTATATGGTTAACCTTTCATCATCTTTTAATTATTTGGAGCTCCATTGGCTCATTTCTTTCAAGTGTGATTAGAGGGCTTTTCTTTTATTTTTTAACAAAAAGATGTCTTAAGAAGTGTCAATGGGAAGTAAGTGAAGGAAGAAGAAAAAGAATTCGGGTGGAGGAATTGGAAGTCTAGCCCTCGACCAAGAGAAGGAAAACTTGCTGCGTTTTATATGCTCCTTCTAACCCGAGGCTTCCAACCCTTCTCCCTCAATTTTTAGACTCTATAAAAGTGATATGAAGCTGTGCAATTTATAAAAAAAAAAGGGTAACGAAGTTTTGACTTTTGGTTATTAGACTCAAAGTTAATTGGTTAAAATCTTATGAACTGTTTGTGACAGCAAATTTGTTTCACGAGTTTGGAAGCTATCGGAAGATATTTTTGAGGAGGTTAATTCAAGTTTAAAGGTAAGAAACCGTGAGCTAAGATGTGGATTTAAGTATAATTTTATCGTTAGAAGATAAATAATTTAATAATTTGATTTGAAATTCATGAATTTTATTGAAAATATTATTGCAAGGAGGATTGAAAAGAA